ACTGGTCAATCTACCTTATTTGTCTGCTTGAAAACATGCAGTATGTAAGCCTTCAATACTTAACCAAGTGTTAATAAACTTACTCTTAACTTTTAGTACATATGTGTACATATGTGTACACATGTACACATAGTACATATGTGTAAGAATTCATTTACCTTGGTCCTCGATCTGGGGATTAATTGTTTGAATGGTAAATTCACTCTACTTTGGATCCAGATTTCTTGTTGATTTCTACTTGCAGAGCTCATTTTATTGCACATGTTTGTGTTCCCTGAAAAATTATAATTGTCTTAATGATTATTGTAAAGGATCCTCCGACTTGATTTGGGATGGGATATATGGTTTGCCCCTCTAAGAGGAAGCAATCATACTTACCGGTACATCCCCTGTAATATCCCCTGCCCCATAGACATATGCATGTCTTTTACTTCATTTAGGAAGGTTTTTTCTCTCCTTTCCCTAACTAATTTTCAGATCCAATTTCCCATCTTTTTTTTTTTTATTTGATTTATATGCCGCCCTTCTCCGAAGACTCAGGGCGGCTTACAATGTGTTAAGCCATAGCCTTCATCCTTTTGTATATTTATACAAAGTCAGCTTATTGCCCCCACAAACTGGGTCCTCATTTCACCTACCTTAGAAAGGATGGAAGGCTGAGTCAACCTTGAGCCTTGGCGAGATTCGAACCCTGCAGGAATTGCAGGCAGCTGGTCTTAATAACCAGCTTAATAACAGGGTGCCTTAAACCCCTGTACTACCAAGGCTCTTTCTAGCTATGATATGATAACGTAACCCAGCAGTGGCTTTGTTCAGGGCATATTACCTTGGTAAAATAATGAAAAGGAAATTAATCAAGTAAATACCTTCATTTGATAAATACTGTGGGGCAGAATTGAAATGGTAGAAGAGAACAATGAAAACTGAATGGTGTGACTCCAGAAAGCTAGATATGATATTTGTATAATAAAGGATGAGGAGATCTTCCAGTCAAAATCTATTTCTGTAATTTTTAAAGCAGCTTTACTACTTCATCACAGCAATTATAATTTACTGCACTTTGGGGGAGGGATGTGAGTTCTGTGACCCCCACAGTCACATTTAATATGGTTGAATATTTTATGCTCTTTAAATCAAATGTGTCAGCTTATGAGGCACCTGTGGAAAAGCAACGCAGAAATTGCTTGGCAACAGAAATCTCTGAGGATAAAGTGAATTAGTGCTGCTAGGATCTGCTTTTTGCCTTGTACAGTGTATTATCCAAAACTAAACAACTAAACATAGATTTTCTTGCTTGCTTATTTTATTACTTTTATTTTCTGCCTTTCCTCAAGGAGATCAAGGTGGAGTATGCAGCATTTCTTTCTTTAATTTCTTCCTACAACAACAACCCTTTGAGGTAGGTTGGGTTAGAGGAGGTGAGTGGTCCAAAGTAATGCAGTGAACTGCCAGGGCTGAGGGCTCACTTGACATTAGTTGTGCTCAGTCTTTGTCCAGAAATCTGGCAGAATATTACCTTATGAATTGCTGGTCCATCACTTGCTTGAAATGGGGAAAACATGCAAAATCTAGCACTATGATTTGTTTAAAGCTAGAAATATTTGGTACACTCTAAGCTTGTTTGCAGATATTACTCAACTAGGTAACATCATTAGTCGGGGCATGATGTTATACCTGTTTGGGTATTGAAACATCTGCAAGCAAACAGCCAAGCTTAGAATGCACCAAGAAATCCACAGTTCAACTTTGGGCCACAGATATTCTCTTATAAAGTTAGGATTTTGAATTGGTGCTAGTCATCCAAATTCTTTGAAAAAATGAGATTTTCTTTATGTTTCTTCTGTTATTCACTTTTAAAAAGAAACCCTCAAGATCTCCCCCACTTTAGAATTTAGTCCTTATTCAGGTGAAAGAGATTCACCTGCATTGCAAAGGCATTTGTTTTTCTATCTCATTTTTCAGAATGTCCATTAAAAGCAGTTTGTGTTGTTGACTTTTTCTGTTAATGAATCTTTTCAACCTACTGTAGCATCCTTGACTGTTCATACTTCATATTATGAAAAAGTCCACAAGAGAAACTCTTGGGAATTAATGAAAAAGTGGGAAGCCTGGGAGAATACAGATAAGCACAAAAATAATTGTATTATAAAAGACAGAGCGTGTTCAAATCCCAGAGGCTGTTTTTAACTAAAATACAACTAAAACACAATTCAGAATCTGCATTAAAACCAAGAAGACACACACTCCTTCTCCCTCTCTCTCTCCGTGTGTGTGTGTGTGTGTGTGTGTGTGTGTGTGTGAGAGAGAGAGAGAGAGAGAGAGAGAGAGAGAGAGAGAGAGAGAGAGGGAGAATCACATATACCAGGGCTGTCAAACTCCCAGCCCGTGGGCTGAATGCGTCACGCGCTGGCCACGCCCACACCCGGTTTAGCAAGGGGGGAGAAGTCCTGATACGTCATGTGACAATGCCGTGACGACCTGAGTTTGACACTCCTGACATAGAGTCTTCTCCAATGGTGAGTTGTTTTCTATCAAATTAAATGAGTATGGTGGGGAAACTGTAAGATAACTGTTAGATAACTTAGGTTTTATATAGAATTCTCATCTTACGAAACAAAAAATAATTACTATTAAATATCAAGTACCAGCATGAGGTTTAATGTTGTCATAAAACTTTAAAATATTTACTTCATGAAAAACAGGAGTAAATATGTTTTTATTCTTCTTATCTACTCAATTACATTTCTTCTCCTAGGTGAGTAAAGATCAGTTTTGAACTAGTGCCTCAATATGAAGCAAATGTACCTCAACTACCTTTTGTTCAGATGGTCACAGATAAAGGTAGCTCATTTATCTCAATGCAACTGAAGGTGAAATAAGGAGCAGAAAAAAATTATATTGAAATATCCTCAGTGAAGGGACAAGTTCATTCCCCTGTGGTTGTAAAGTTCTGACTCAATCTTGCTGAAGGAAATGAGTCATTTAAGTTTGAGTGCTTCAAAATGCATTTACCCTCTTAGTTTAAAAGCCTAAGTAACAAGATTCCGTTTTGATTGCGTTTTCTAAATAATGAAATTTAGCTTTAAGAAAAGATGAAATTTACTGTAAAATGGTGCTGTGCAGCTGTTTCAGACACCGTGTCATTTTTTGGTCAAGGGGGACCAAAAAAAATAGTCTATAGATGGACTATTTCTGATGACATTTATTGCCTTTGGATGGAAGATGGGATATGAATAAAGAGGATATCCAAAAAGACCAAGCAATAGATGAGAACAATTCTAAGAAAACTGCCAACAAGAATGGAGAAAAGAAAAATAATAATCACTGTCTGTGCACATGATTGGTGAACCCACTTTTAGGGCACTCATGATTTATTCAGTTAATCCAATTTCCTGAGTTTCCACAACACATTGAACCATAAGCTTACCATGCAGGCTATGTTTTCAAAATGCAGATAAGATGTAGTCCAGCACGTCTTCTTATCTAAGACGTGGTCTTGATCTTCTAACGTAGGCCACTCAGAAAATAAAACCTATAGTCTCAGATATTATGAAATGCAGGGAAATAGAGAAACTATAGATCCACAGAACTCATATAATCAATCTCTAGAAAGCTTTTTAACTGAAACAGGCTATAACATTTATAAAAACACAGATTTAATTTTAAAAATATACATGCCCTAAGATAGGGAATTTATCAATTTTCCAGTATTGTTGAACTTCATAATCTCCAGTTTACATAGGGGATTTTTAAGGTGATGGTAGCTGCAGTCTAACAACATTGGGAGGACAATGGGGCCTTTATCTCTTCCTTTGTCCCCAAAGTATCTCAAGTTCCCTTTAGTCTATATGGAGTAAAAAGCAATCTCTCTTCTTTTGGTTTAATGTAAACTAGAGTAATAATATTATACTTATGAGAATCAAAATAAGACCTAGGGACATGAGTTTTCCTCATAACAACCATTCTTATGTATTTATTTGACAAATAACCAGTGAAATGTATACAAGATCCAGTGATTTCATTAAAAAATTGAGCAGTTATTGCTAAAATTCCCTGACACTGATACTATTAGCATATAAATGCTAAGTAGACCATATATTCAAAGTTAATAAATGGAACAAATCAAACTTTAGATCGCTATTTTTAATAATTAGGTTCTGAAGAATTAACATTTTTCTCTAAATTGTACTGTCATAGTAATTATGTAACCTCCATAAATGATATGTATAAATTCAGTTGAATTGCATATATGTTAGTGATTTGTTTTATATACTTTAATTTTCATTTGTTGTTATAAAGATTGAGATACATTTTTCCTACAGTACTTTCAGCGGTGAAATGCACTTATCTTCGCTACCATTTCAGGAATGTGAGCGTGCGTGCTCATGCACGAGCGTAGTGAGTGCACACCTTTTCTGTGCATGCACAGAGCCTTTTGTGCATGCGCAGAGGATCAAAAACAGGATGTAATGATGTCCCGGTGGGTAGGCGGAGCCTCCCGCTGCCAGCCCTACCAGTTCATGCGAGCCAGATAGATCCGGCCAGATTTCACCGCTGAGTACTTTGGAGTTCTGTCTATAAACTTTGAAGATTTTGCTGAACTGCTCCCCTATTTCTTTGAAAATCTTCAGGCATTTTTCCTACGTTTGATGCTTTCCAAATATTCTGTTTAATTTCAATTTCCATTGACTTCATTGGCTTGAGTTTATAGAAGATAGAAGTCAGTATAAATTGGAAGATTCAGGTGAGAAAGGCTTGGGCATTGAGCCTAGTTTTGCTTGTGGAAAAGTGTCAAATGAATAGATCAAGAGGATTATATTGAACCACAACTTTTCTAAGTTAGGTAATGTTTTGTTATGCCATATGTCATTCTTGAAAGTTATTTATAATAGTGCAAAGGCATTGTTCTTGGTAATTCCTCTGTCCATATTCAGTTTGCAGCTAAATATGATATCTTATGATGAAAATAGAATCTTAATTGTTTTTTTCTTCCAAGCTTTAGGCAAGGTTTTCATGAATGACTAACAGAGCAGATGCTGCAAACAAGCTAGGAGCTTCTGTTTGCTGCCCTATTAAGAGCAGTGACTCATTTTGGCATGACGTCAAAGCTATGAAAACAAAAGAGAATTTAAAACCAAGTATCATGGTCCAAGAATCTCAGCATCTGCTATAACATGAACAGAAGTTTGGCCAAAACTAATTTTTGACTGGTTGGGAAATTGGTGATGGAAAACTCCAGCCATATCTTTCTGGTGTGAAGACATGAGTAACTCTTCTATTTTTCTCTTAGAGAACTCCCATAACAAGGTAGAAATTCACGAAATTAATAGCATATGTTTAGCTTTTTAGTATTAATGTTTGGCTATATGTTTCTGTAAAGTTAAGGTTGTTTCCAGTTAACTAGCTAGCTAATGGTACAGAGCAGTAATCATACTTTTGAAGCCTGCTTTTTCACCTAACAGCTTTTCTATCAATATCTAGTACATTTCTATAGTGCACAATATAAGGTTAGAACCGGTGTCGGCAACCCACGGCTCCAGAGCCTCATGCTAACTTTCATGTAACATTCCGGGTAGCAGACCAATATGGCGACTCTTTATTGAATGCCAAGGACGAAGGGGCGATGTCCGGCATTTTCGAGGGTGTTGGGGGGGGCAGCTGACCATCTTACAACCCCCGCCCAGCAAGCTGAAGCATAGCCGGCTCGATTGAGCCGTAGATGGAGCTGGAAGAACACCCAGCCGCCGTGGAGATAGTTAGGGATGGCGCGGCGGGCGGTAAACGGCGGCGAACGTTGAAACCGAGGTCCAGCTGACTGTCATAAATCAAACGGCTGCGGGGCTGGAGCGGTTGAAGCAACGGTCAGCGATGTTGCTGTGGCGGTGGCGGCGCAGGCAGCGCCGGCGGCGGTCCCTGGGCTGCTGTAAACTTGATTTGCAGCGTACTGGGCGCTGCGGGCGGCGACGCGGGGCGGCAGCCATGGATACGGAGGCGGAGCCGACTAAAATGACACTTGCAACTACGATGTTGACAGCAACAGCAGCAGCAACACCGGGAGGCTAGGCTATGAGGATGCCCTCTCTAGACAATGGAGAGGGCTTTGCTGCAAGCAGTTACCCCCCCTCGATGTAATGGGGAGGGGGCCTGGACATTCACTTAATCACCTGAATTCAACTTAATCACCTGAATGGCCCTATCTGAAAGAGCATGGTAGTGGTGGGGGCTGAGAACTGAAGACATTTTTTGATCTTCCCCTGTCTGCTTCTCCCCCCCACTTACTAGACCTAGGCCTAGTTTGGCCATTCAGCGAAAAAAAACGAAAAACAAACAAACAAACTTGCAGCTGTTTCGATCAACTTATAGCCTTTTTAAAATATCTTTTCCTCCTTGACTATCCTAATTATCCTGATTATTTGATTTCATCTCTTCCACCTGGATGCTCCACTTTTGCTTTTTTCAACCTTATCTTCGGATTTTTGCTGGTATCAGAAAGGGAGGAAGCATAGACATCGAGAGTCTTGAACAATTTATTTGTAATAAATTATTATTATTATCCATCATTGTAAGAGGGAGATGGTATTCCGATGTTCTATTATATTAGCTTCCTTGTACAATTATCTACTTTACCCTTTTTGTCTTAACCATCTGTTTTAAACCATCTTTAACACCTTAAGAAGAAAATGGCCTTTCATCGCCTCCAATTCTATCTCTCCTCCGATGTATTCAATAACAGAACTCCTAACACTGTGAGATTCCCCCCTCTCGCAAGTTTGGCCCTCCCAGTTATCTAGGGCTGCCCTCAAGGACGGGTTTTGGAACCCCGAGAGGTGGTATGCTAAGAACCGGAAGCTTTGGGGTTTTTTAGATAGTTTTTCAAATTCTATTTTAAGGGGATCTGGGAGGAGGGTGGTTTCCAATGTAAATAATGAGGCTGGAGAGCCTCCCGGGAGGGGGGTGGGTTGTATGGGTTCAGGGATTAACCCGCGACGGACGGGGTCTAGTCCATCTGAAGAGCACGGCGGACGAGATGCAGAATCTGGGGCCAAGGAGAGGGTTAGAACTTGTGCTGTTGATAGACATTACATCAGTACTGTAGGTGGGAGGGGCAGATATGGTGGGAGTAGGGGGCCACATCAAGTTGCGGGAGTGCGCGCTCGCTGTCTTCAAGCAGTGGCACGCTCCGGCCCCCAATGCTCTTCTCGTTCCCCAGGTGGCACAGACCCTCAGGTCCTGGGCCTTCGGCTGATGCTATGCAATGCCAGGTCCGTGGTAAATAAAGCCCCCCTCATTTGTGATCTTGTTCAGGAGGGGGGAGCGGACCTGGTGGGTATTACGGAGACCTGGTTGGGCCAGGAGGGGGGAATCCCTCTCATAGAGATGTGCCCACCCGGTTTCCGGGCATTTCATCAGCCAAGGTCACAGGGAAGGGGCGGGGGGTGGCAGTTATCATTAAAAAGGGTCTTAGTCCGAGGGAGGCCACTGTTCCTCAGACGGCCGGATGTGAGTCCCTCCTTGTGAAGTGGGGTCATGGGGTGCAGATGGGCCTGCTGGTTACGTACCTGGCTCCCTGCCACGTGGCAGCGGCCTTGCCTGAACTACTCAACGTTATAGCCGCGGTGGCGATTGATACCCCTAGACTTATGGTCATGGGGGACTTCAACCTGCCATCCGTCGGTGAGGCGTCTGAGGTGGCTCAGGAGTTCATGGCTTCCATGACGGCCATGGACCTGACCCAGTTAGTTCATGGCCCTACTCACACGGGGGGAAACACGCTGGACCTGGTTTTTGTCTCTGGTCAGTGGCTGAGTGGTCTCGAGATAGGGGATATAGCGATCGAGCCCTTGTCATGGTCAGATCACTCCCTCCTTCGCTTTGACCTTCGAACCGCCACACCCCGCCGCAGGGAGGCGGAACCGATGAGGTGGTTCCGCCCCAGGCGCCTGATGGACCCGGATAGGTTCCAGACGGAGCTTGGGCCATTTCCTGAGGCTCTGGCACACGGCTCGACTGAAGACCTAGTGGCTGTCTGGGATAGGGCGGCCGCTGGAGCTTTGGACCGGGTTGTGCCTTTGCGGCCTCTGACCCGGCGTCGATCTCACCTGGCTCCCTGGTTCACCGAGGAGCTGAGGGAGATGAAACACCGGAAAAGACGCCTGGAGAGCAGTTGGAGGGCCAACCGTTCTGAATCTGACCGAACACTGGTAAGGTCTCATATTAAGACCTACCTGGTGGCAATAAAAAGTGGCAAAGTGTAACTATTTTTCCGCTCTTATTGCATCATCAGATAATCGCCCGGCCGCCCTGTTTAGGGTGACCCACTCCCTGCTCCACCAGGAAGCGCGGAAGGACCCCTTGGAGGGTAGAGCCGAGGACTTTGTACAATATCTGTATGACAAAATCGCTCAGATTCGGGAAAATTTGGACTCTGACTGGGTAGATTCGGGAGGGAGGAGGGAGGCAAGTCTTGAGAATATTATCTGGGAAGAGTTTGATTCTGTGACTCTGGAAAATGTGGACAAGATACTGGGCAGACTAAGCGCGGCCACATGTTTATTGGACCCGTGTCCCTCCTGGCTGGTGCTGGCCTCTCGGGAGGTTACACGAGGCTGGCTCCAGGGGATTATAAATGCTTCCTTGAGAGAGGGTGTCTTCCCTGCTGCCTTGAAGGAGGTGGTGGTGAGGCCTCTCCTCAAGAAGCCTTCTCTGGACCCAGCAGTGTTGGCTAATTACCGTCCAGTCTCCAACCTTCGCTTCATTGCGAAGGTTGTTGAGAGTGTGGTAGCGCGACAGCTTCCTCAGTACTTGGATGAATCGGCTTATCTAGATCCGTTCCAGTCGGGCTTCAGGCCTGGATACAGCACGGAAACGGCATTGGTCGCATTGGTAGATGATCTCTGGAGGGCCCGGGACAGGGGTTGCTCCTCTATCCTGGTCCTATTAGACCTCTCAGCAGCTTTTGATACCATCGACCATGGTATCATGCTGCACCGGTTGGAAGAGTTAGGGGTGGGAGGCACCGTGTTGCGGTGGTTCTCCTCCTTTCTATCTGATCGGTCGCAGTCTGTGTTGACAGGGGGGCAGAGGTCGACCCCGAGGCCCCTTGTATGTGGGGTGCCACAGGGGTTGGTTCTCTCACCCCTTCTGTTCAACATTTATGTGAAGCCGCTGGGTGAGATCATCCGTGGTCTTGGGGTGAAGTATCATCAGTATGGTGATGATAGTCAGCTATACATCTCCACCCCGGACCACCCCAATGATGCCCTTAAAGTGATGTCCCAGTGCCTGGAGGCTGTACGGATCTGGATGGGGAGGAACAGATTCAGGCTCAACCCATCCAAGACCAAGTGGCTGTGGTTTCCGACGTCCCGATATAGTCAATTGGTGCCATCACTGACTATTGGGATGAGTCATTGCCCCCCACGGAGAGGGTTCGCAACTTAGGCGTCCTCTTGGACTCACGGCTGTCTTTAGAAGAACACTTGACGGCTGTGGCCGGGAGGTCTTTTTATCAGGTTCGCCTGATTCGCCAGTTGCGTCCCTTTCTGGATCGGGACTCGTTAAAAACGGTCACTCATGCCCTCGTCACTTCACGCCTGGACTACTGTAATGCTCTCTACATGGGGCTCCCCTTGAAGAGCACCCGGAGGCTCTAGCTGGTCCAGAATGCGGCCGCGCGGGTAGTTATGGGAGCAGCATGGCGCTCCCATGTGGCTCCCCTCCTGCGCGAGCTGCACTGGCTCCCTGTGGTCTTCCGGGTGCGCTTCAAGGTCTTAGTTACCACCTTTAGAGCGCTCCATGGCTTAGGACCGGGGTACTTACGAGACCGCCTTCTGCCACCAATAGCCTCTCACCGCCCAGTACGCTCCCATAGAGAGGGGCTTCTCAGGGTGCCATCAGCCAAACAATGTCGACTGGCGGCCCCCAGGGGGAGAGCCTTTTCTGTGAGGGCACCCACCATCTGGAACGAGCTCCCCCCAGAGATACAGAAGATTCCGGATCTGCGCACTTTCCGCCATGCCCTCAAAACATTCCTGTTTCAGCAGGCCGGCCTGGCCTAACTTTCCCTTTATATTGCTTTTTGATTTTATTTTAAACTAGGATGTCTTGAATTATCTAGGACCAGAATGTTTAGTATATTTTAATTGGTTTTTTATTATTAATGTTTGTATTACATGTATTTTTATCGTTCGCTGTTCACCGCCCTGAGTCCCTTAGGAATAGGGCGGTATATAAATTTAATAAATAAATAAATAAATAAATAAATAAATAAATAAATAAATAAATAAATAAATGCGGCAGTTTGGGCC